ATTTTACTGAACGCCTATTTATCACTTTCATTCCTGACCTTTCTATCTCCTCTTGCCCATTTCCAAGTGCAGGGTAGTGAACCAAAAACTTTTTCCAGGTTAACTTCCCTGCCTTCCAATTAACAATTATTTCTCCTTCTCTTTCCCTCTTTGACATTCTACATAGCTAGACTCGCCACAGTGGTGTAATGGCTAAGGTACTCGGATGCTTACCCGCAGGTCGCGGCGTCGAATCCCGGCTGCGGCTGGTGCATTTTTGATGGAGGTGAAAATGCTGCAGGCCAGTGGGCTCAGATTTTGGTTCACGTTAGAGAACCCAAGGTGGTCAAAATTACTGGAGCTGTCTACTACGGCGTCTCTCATAATGATATGGTGGTTTGAAGACGTTAATTCTTACATATAATAAATCAAATTACACACAGCTGGATTGTAAATTTTATCACTCAAGCAAGTGGGTACGCATAGATTGTGGTTTTTTTTTGTTTTTATTTTATTTTTTGATAATTGTAGTTGACTTTATGTTACGGTCTTCATAAATAAAAAATACGCATTAGCATTGTTTAGAGACTACAGGTATGGGCTGATGAAGCTTCATAAGTCTGTAACGAGCGGCCATAAATTACTTTTCTGGATAAGCTACTTCAGCCGTTTTCTTGCGTCTTATTGTTATGAAAGCATTATATTGTGCAAAATATGTTATGATCTGAATTTGAAATCACGTTGTTCAGATCACTAGAGCAAGCATACACGTAAATCAGTGTTCTTATTACTACATTTCTGTGCTGTGTGGTTATGAGGCCTTGCACTCGCGAAATTTTAGTCCAACAGTCTGGAAGGCTCTCTACAAGGTGCAAATGATATATCGGCCTCATTCTTCATATAGTTGTCTGTCGTACATTATTTTTTATTTGGACCTCCTATTTAGGTTTTCCCGAATTGCCAGATGGAGGCTTTTGGGCAACTTAGCTTTGATGGCGTTCCATAGGGCGGTACACAATAAGAACCCAGAAGATCTCAGCAGTAGAGTTACCAATGGTGCTTTTGTGACGCATACTGAACTTCTTTTACAATTAGCGTCCATTTCGCAATTTCATTAGGGGCCACAAGAAAACAATTACACACCTATTTAGAATTTATTTTCATAATCAAGATTTTTTTCATTCATCACTCCCCGCTTCATCAATTATCGACCTGTAATAAACCAGGCAAACAGAACATTCTACAGAGTTCATGCGATTATTTAAAAAATCTTCCATACCTCACAAGAAACGAAAAAAAACACAATGCCCTTTTTATAAACGTATCACTGCCCTAACTATATGCTTATGTAACCACACTAACCTCATACTTGTATACCATCTCAGTCAATCAAGTGGGGGGAAGATGGGTTCAGTGTGTTGCACCACAGTCAGTTCCATTACTCTAAGTGCAAAGTGATTGCACAATATAGCTTCGCAATTGTTGCAATGTAAAGTGAAGAAACTTATGCGTAATTGCTTTGAACAATCACCATGAATTAAAATGCCACGGAATGAACTTCGATATTAAAGGGCGTCTTTTTATCCACCTATTTTTTTCAGGTGGTGCATCAATATAAATAATGTCTGCCACGGCGTAACAGTGGCTATGGTTCTGTGCAGCTGATCCGATGGTCATGGTTTCGATCCCCATGATGCAGGCGAACCGGTTGTGGCTCTTATGCTCTGCGATGTTAGCAACCGGTAAACGACAACAGATAGTAGATATTCCTGTAGACCTCCATTACGGTGTTTCTCATAACCGCATCGTGGCTTTGGGACGTCAAACTCTAGATAATATCATTATCGATAAAACATTACAAATTGTGACGTGAGCGAAGTTCTTCTGTGATTGCGTGCATGAAAGGGAAGATAAAAACAATTCATGCGAAATTTACCGGAGCAGTTCACGCGTTCAGTTTTGTTCTGTTTGGTCGGTTCTTTCGAAAGAACAAAACTTCAAGGCTTACACCTTAGATACTCTATTTCAATTTATTACGTAAGCAAAAAGTATCATATATAAATAATTAGTAACTGGAATAAAAAACAGACAAATTACCTGTCAGATATCTCTTTTGGAAATCACCCAGCTTCTGCATCGCCTGCTTGCGCATGAATGGCGAGTATAACATCTGCGTAAGCTGCATTACCGCTTGCGATAATATACTTAGTGCGTTGACGCAAACAGGAATGCGTACGTGTACTTCCAATTACTATAGAGTAGTGTGGCAGCGACAACGCTAACAGCGAAAACTTTTGTGAGTTTAACTGTGCACAGCGTGCAGAAAGTCAAGTTAAATAGGGAATCGTTATATTCAAAGTGACCGCTGTACTAAAGCGTTGATAGCAAGGAGGTAATAAAGTAGTACTGACAAGAGTTTTAAATTTTTTTTGGTTGCTTCTCCGAGTCAAAATACTGGTATCGAGAAACCAAAAACGAGTATTGTGGCACCTGGGGATGCATCGTATATATTTTTACTGCCACTAGATTGAAATTAATTTTGGTTTTCATATCGAAATGGTGATTTTACAGTGACGTGTCACAACATCGCGGCATCACGGTGAGAGAGTAGCTAGTGACATACCAGCGGAACATCTCTTATCTGCTCGCTGTGCACGTTAAGAACGACGAGCGAATTGTCGTCCATTGACCCTAACAGTGATTTGTGAGATTTAGACTACATGCAGGAACAGAGCTTGAAATCTCGAGAATGGTGTGTTGACGCGTTGGAATAGTGTCCGGTGCAGTGGGTCTGGCTTGTAGATGCACCGCGACGAAAACGTTTCACTCAAAGTAAAATATTTAATACGTATTATCTGATTTCGGTGTGTGTAGAGCATTGACACGGCGTAACAGGGAAACGACAAATGCCCTCTCTGTGATGTCTCGAAATTATGTCCGCACTTTTTAACGCAAGTTCATGACGAAACTTTTTTTCGGTGAGTACAATGACGATTATTAAAAGCTGCAACATGGTGGCCATGGTTGAAAGAGCCTCAATCCAAATTTTGCCAAATGTTAAATTAGCTTAGAAAACGCCAGTAGCTCAAACTGTGTCTACTTCCATAAACATGTCGGCACCACTTTCGCGCCATTTAGAGTCCAGACATATTGCAACTCTTACAGGGCAGACGGTACATTACCGTGGTACATACACTCGTTCAAGCGTATTGCAATTGTACAATACGTCACAAGACGTCAAACGTACCTGTTGTGCTGGTATTTAACAGCGATTGCTATGCCGTTAGAGACAACTAGCAATACTAGACTCTCATAGGTCAATTCATTCATAGCCTGAACAGTCTAGGTGATTACTTGTCTACACACCATTTGAAAGTTTTGTTAGTTGGTTGGTTTCTCAATATCTTGGTGCGACCCACTCCGGGGATAGGCCATGAATTGGACGGTGCCTTGCTTAGTAAAATAATTCAGCAATCGAGGAGACTCGTTGAAAATGAGTTGTTTAGTCATTACAGAATAATAATTTAGGCTCGCAAGATTTTGAAGTGTGCAGTATGGTGATTGTCAGCATTATCATCACCGTCCTCATCTGCCGTCAACAGCTCGAGCAACCCGGTAATCCGCGACAGGTCAATAAATGAAAGTACCTGCAAGAACTAGTGAACCTGAGGGGGCAGCCATGTGTCATTGGTCTTAAAACAGCACGCCTGATTCTCTTTACGTGCTACATCTTGAAAATACGCACTGGAGCACTCGCTCCTGCGTGTGGTTTGACCGTAAAAATAAATTCGCTAAACTCAACATCTTGATGAATCAGTGTGAATGGGAACATGATGCGGCTTCCCTGCTGCAAAATAACGTTGCAACTAGCTTCCTTGCTGTTTAATTAAGTTCAGCATGATTGGACGGGTGCTGAGCTGCATCCCGATATGTATTTCCGGACTAAATCAATAAACTTTTTCGCGTCTTTCGAATTCACCTTTTGCAAGGTAAATATTCTATGGTCATGTATGCTCGTGCTTATGCACATATATCATTGGTGCGTGTGTTAGGTCTAGCAGGGTACCAAACAAAGCGACTTTAAATGCTCTATTGAGGTCATGTAGTAGTTCAAGGCAAACCAAAAAATTTGGTTTTCGGGGCTTATGCCGCATATTTTTGCGTAACGATTGCTTCAGTACATCAGTAAATTATTGGTTTGTGTTTAAGCACATGCTTACTGACTAAACTTTCTTAGCGAGCCTTTGGCACTGTCTTTGATGCGCTCTATTTTGTGAAAATGACAGGTTCACTTGCAATGCACTAAATCTTCAGGCACCTTGTATCAGATATTTTCATCTGGTCATTTTTTTGCGCTGTACATTTCATTAAATTCTGAACAGCCATCGACTTTTCTAACAGCTACAAGGCAAAAACAAAAATGAATTCACGCGCCAAGGTAGATAAGCGATACCACTGCAGCGTTTGTAGCGACAAGTATCTGAAAATAAACGACTTTGAATCCGCAGATTTCTCGAAGCAGGGCATTTAGCAATTAATTTCACTTTGCTCTAACCAAGTCATTTATGGTAGGACACTTTGTGTTGCATTTAAATTAAGCAAACGGAAAGAAAAAGCCAAAGTTTCTGCAGATGCGTGTAGAGTGCCACGATGCTACCGCTGCCTACCATGGTAAAAGTATGGACATAACTTGACCTCGTCCCCAGCATATTTGTCGAATCGGAGACGTGTACACAAGTGCGTGTGTTGTGCTGTCCTGTTCTGTGGTGTTGCCAATTTAGCGCGTTCGCAAGCACTCCCACACAATATGGCGGTGCTTGTGAACGTTTCACCACCTTTTAGGACGGAACGTTGGCATCGAGGCACTCTTAGTTAGGGGAAACTGCAGCGCCACATTTCCCTCGAGTGATTTTCGAAGGAAACTATATGCCTCTCGGGGCGGGCGCTCCTGTTTGTTTGTATTTTCGCATCATGTGTTGTAAGAAAAAAAATGAGGTAGGAGAGGCAGCCATCGAGCTCACATGCTTTTCCAGTGACGCAAGCGAATGCGACCCATGCCACGGCAAAGGCCCACACAGAGCGATGCACAGCTGCGTAGAGTGCGGCCTGTGCGGTATCCACGCCATCACCGCAGTTCCATCGGTAGGCACCAAACACCACCGCCACGGCGCAGAGAAAAGAGCAGACCCAGCCCAATGTTCGCAGGATCTGCGATGGCAAGGGGATTGCGGCTCGTGCTCTTCATCAAAACTAAGAAAGTTAACGATCGCGAGCAAAGCTGAAAATCTTGTTGTATTCGCGTCTCACATTTGCGGGGCTGCACGATGAACGTGAGACGGACTGTTGCTACACTTGAGAACGCGGTGTGGCTGAATCGTTCCCGCACTTAGATTCAGAATTTGCCCTCCGTGGCTGCTCGCTTTTCTGTGCGACAATAAAAGATCTTTCCTATTGTTGAAGAGATGATAATCATCCTTAAACGTTAAAAGAGTCGGTACGCAACACAGAAGGCATTGAGAACGTTGTTATGCTTCTTAAAGAGAAGTGTGCTCCGAGACAGACTTATGAACAGCGTTTTAATCTACGTTCTCTATTTCTTTTTCGCTTTTTATGGCGTCCCTTTTTTATTCTAGTTCATTCCTCCTCTTCCCAGAGAACGATAGCCAGCTGGTCTAAGAAAGGACTAACCTCCATGTCGCTCCAACTGTTTTTTTTTCCTCCTCCTACTCCTCCTCATGCTACTAGCTACATTGCGTGCTAATCACATTCAGGAACTCCAGGTTAAGTTCTAGATGCCCTCTTATCAAAGTTAAAGTTGCTAGGCTCAGAGCAAGTGATAATCAGTGATGCGGCACGGCTTCATTGCATTGCATTGCGGAGTGTTGCTGCCATGTGCCCGCATTCGCTCAGCTTATAACGTCACCAAGAGAAGCCCACATTACCCTAATTCGTGAACCGCTGTGTATGAATATTTGCCTGATCCCGTGACCACACGATCATGCCTTCACCTTCGCATGCACTTCACGGGATTGGTGCTGGAAGTTCGGGGGGCTTTTCCGGTAGGCAGGAAACAAGTGCGCACCGGATAAACAAAAAAAGTGCACGTTCAGTTTTTTTTGCGTCTAACTGATTATTTCTTTCTAGTGAGGGCAGAAAGTCGTGCAAGTTCTCTCACAGCCCCACAGTAGAGGGGAAAAAGTTGGGCTAGTCGTTATATTTGCATGGTTAACGTAGTGCTGAAAGTCGAAGACCTCGAACCAGAAGACGAGCGCTCGTCCTGTAATTTCTGTTCTACGTCTTCGACTACGAGTGGTGCTTCAACCATACATCTTTATCCTGCCAACTGCTGCGAAGATAAGCTGGTACACAATGGTGACATCATTATACGGGTGCGTATTATCGCGTTAGGCTTTCTATCTTATTGCAGCTGTTAGTCAAAGGACGCTATTCCTAGCTCATATCTTACCTTTTGAAGAGGTTGAAAGTAATTAAGCACGGAAGAGTTAAGCTTGCTTCTTGGCACACAGCCACGCGCAAATTACGTCAAATACATGTCTGGCGTCTCACATGTTTGTTCTTATACTTAGAAACTGGTCATCAACATCTTGTGGTTCACATGTAGACAAGGTCGGTGTGAACATGGCCGCAACACTTCATCACAAAAGCAGTGATGTAGCACAATATTATTTACCAATCGAAGGTAATCAAGGGAATCTTCTTGGGTACTCAGGAGCAAATCACTTAAAGAAAGGGAACTACAGACAAGGTGAGACAATTGCATCTGCGTGCGTTACATATCAAACGCGACACATGAGCAAGAAAGCACTTTCGTTTACTATAAGGTTGTCGTCTTTGAGCTTGAGACTTAAGTACGAACGAAAAGACGGGCAGTGACAGTGGGTCGGTAAGCAAAGGCAGTAATTGAACTGCGACATTGACCCACTAGCTGCTGTAGATTGAATCTAAAAACAAAAGAGTTTTCGTGAACTAGCTCAAATGGCAATCATGAATATGATAAAACAAAATTAGGTATTTATTCTCTAAAGACAAGCCTTTATTATACACGCTGTACATTACAAAATAGCCTAGTAGGCACTGGACAACTGAGGAAATGATGACGTTTTACCGGGTTAAAGTTGAAATGTAGAGGTACGCACTCTGCAACTCGATGATGTCTTACCGGGTTGAGCGTGACAACGGGTTTTCGCGTGACGATGCAGGCGAGACCGATGCCGATGCAGAAGGGGCCTAAGTGAGCCCAGGGTTTTTGGTACATGATGTCTTCCATCATGAGCCGCGAGCTGTTGGTTAGAGAAGAAAAAAAATTAGAAAATGATGTGCCACCCTATTACGTTTCTAATAAAAAATGAACAGTTCTGAAAAAAACAGACTGCTACGTCTTATGTGCAAAATAATGTACACAAGATTGTTCGGCTGACTGATTCATTGCATAATAAATTAGTGAACATTGAAGGGCATAAAAAATAACAGAGAAATTTATTATCTGCGAGTATAAGAAGACAAAATACGTTTTCAGGAGAACTCACGGGCACAGGAGAGCTACACATATTCTGGGTGTGGCTCATTTCAAGAACGAAAAAAAGTATCTCGCATCTTTGAATAGACTATTTTTTGTAAAGAAAAATAATTACAAGCTCATCATTACAATTTTACAAGCAGCATCATACGGGAAATAGGATGAACTGCAATTTCATCCAGAATAACAAAACTAAAGCACATGATGAGGTCTTTTCGATGAGGAAACATAATGGGGAAACATATTTTTGTCTATATTTATAGAAAAGATCTTAAATGGTGTGCTTTCAAATAGATGTAGGAAGATTCGCCGAAGTGAATATACTTGGCCAATTGTTTCTACATGACATGCAAAACATTTGACAGTCATAAAATGTGCAGTCGTCGTCTCTTTTCTTTTGAATCTGCGGTCTCTACGTCAGCAGACAAGATCATAGCCTCGTGAATTTTCCTAATTAGTTACAGATCTTGACTGCCTACGAGCCCTTAGCGACTATTGGTTGTGGGCCACTATACACCAAGAACAACACTTTGAATATGACTCAAGCAAGGCTCTTGAGCATTGATTTCATTTCAAAGCATCTTCCGTGTAACGAGGCAGGCCTGTAGGCAACAGATGCAATCCGCAGATTTTGTGGTAAGGTATAGCTCTGTTTTTCTTTCCTGTTCATTTCTAGTGTTTTTTACCTCAGTTTTTAACATTATGTGCAAGGAAACCAAACACTTGTGGGCGTATATCACCTCTCAGAATGAGTACACTTTTCTTGCTGAGAGGTTTGACAGATACAATCATAAAACTTCAAAAATGCGAAGCAAAAAGAAATAAGAATGTATCACTATCTTTTTTTCGCCTTTTGTCATCCTAAATTGCCTGCACAGTGCTTAATAATTTCACAAAGAGGAAACACAAAAGATTCAGTTTGCGTCATGCCATGCTCCGACGCTGTGATGCCGTTCAACCGCATTGCTATGGATGTCCCTATGTACAGTTCATGCCAAACCTCAGGCATGCACTTTTTTCGAAACCTTGTACCTTGCGTGTAGGTGACATCACCTGCAACACTGCTGAACTCACTTGATGTCAGCCTGCGCGAAGAGAACGGTTGGTGGCAGCTTGTAGGTGGCTGTCAGCACGCCCATAGAGATAATGCCCACGGCCACCAGAGAGGCGTTCAGTACCACACCCAGAAAGAAGCGCCTGCAATGCAACAAATAAATGTAAGTGAACGTAATATGACATTTACAAAGTCACGTGCGAGTTTTAACTTCGAAAGGTGGCTCCATAGTAAGGAACATGCTGCTCCCCCCCCCCCCCCCCCCAACAGCATGTTCGCAATAGGGTAGGGGTTTTCAGACGTCGTACTGCACGATATATTTTGTTAATTATGGTCACTTGCTCAAGTTAATTATTTGTTCCTTCGTATAACGTAACACATTAAGACGCAGGAATTCATCCGAGGTTGTTCAGCAAAATTGTACTCCCGCGGCACCGTCTCCTGTTACAAGCGAACTCAACTTGGAGCCTGAAAATTTATCCTGAAATCTTCTCATTACAAAACTAACATGTGAGGTACCTTAAAGTGTGTGGAACGTATCATGCCCTGAGATGGAAGTTCAGTGTTAGGGGCAACAGCCACGAATAGTGTTGTTATTCCCTCTCTGCACGCAAGAAAGCGTTGTGTGTTTATCGCATCACTGCCGCACAATATTTTACTGGATCCCCGTCGGCGTACCAGGCACTTTATGTGCTTCACGTTATGCCTAAAACCATTGGATTTTCTTTAAGCACGCACGCAAGTGCTGTCTTGCCAGTGGAATTCACAGTTTCTACTTATTTGATATAAATTTTTGCAGAAAAAGAGTTTTATTTAGGTGGATGTTGTTATTCCCGAGTCGAGTAGTTTTGATGATTTTTGCGCTGTATCGAGTCTTAGTGTTGATACGGTAACGTTTTCCGCTTGCAGATAAATAGCAAGTGAAAGAGACACCAAAAAGGGAAAAACTTTTTCACGTATGAACGAAGTAAATTTTCGCATTTACGAATTTTTGTAATGTGACACAACGCTTGGAAGCGAGAAAAAGTGCGTGAAGAGTACAAGGATGGAGACGCCACCTTGATATACCCGCATCAAACATCGTGACGTTATAAATTTCAAATTGTCTGCCGTAGGTTATAATCAATAAAATAAAATAAATTATCATCGCTGGGTGCCATAGATCTAGCATACGATGTTTTAGAACATTTCATCGAGCCAATGTGGCGAAAATGCGAAAAATACTTTTTGTAATGTAGAACGTCACGCGCGCAGATTTTGGTGCGAAATTTTAAAATAAAGCTTCAACCTTGATTTTTTTCCTTTACCTTATACCGGAAAAACATTCGGCATTAGAGTTAGCAGTTTGTATATCAAAATCGAATCTTTGTTGCTCTTCAGTGTCCCTTCGGTTATCTATTCGGTTAGAGGTGAACATCTGTAAACCAAATAGATGCCGTAAATCAAACTTCTCCGCACTAGGGCCATTGCTGTGGCGAAGCAGGCGGTCCAAATTAGCTTTTTAAAGAGAAGCTCACACAATCAGGGTACAGCGGTGCTCTTTTCGGGTTATCTATCGCCTTACCAGATGCTTTTGTCGAAATATCTCGTGATTTTCAATGAACGCGTCTGGCGTATTCTGGCAACGCTGGTGTGTCCCTACGCCAATTGTAATATGTCTGTCGTGGACGACGACGTGTGCTGCGCTAATCTTTTTAAAAACTTGCTACTGACGTATTGATGAAGGTTACCTCCCGAGCAAACAGCCTGAAGGTAGGACCACGGTTAGAATTGGTTGCGCAGCAGTTAGTTCACTTTCATTTACTTTGTGCCGTGAGCTTGGGGAGGCATGTCAGCCGTTGGCAGACAGCATTGCTTCAGTTGCACTCGGTCAAAGCAAGTCCAAAAAGATTTGCCGTGAACGCAGACATTACGGCGTCAGCGTGGTACCCCGCGTAGTGCTGCAGCGCCAGAGATGGCGTAGCATTTCGTGTTACTGTTAACTCAGAAAAAAAAAACAACAACCGCCATGGCGGTAACAACAGGAGTGGGATTATAAACTTCAATGCGACGGCCCTCTTAGTTCTTCCCGGCACTGGCAGTCGGTGCATCAACGGGCCTCTTCCTAGACCCAGAGTGGCACGGTGACTCCTCACTTCGATTCATCTGAAGTGCACCCGCATTCTTTGTTCACGCATGCGCTTTCGAGGCAGCGCGCGTTGGGAAAACTCAGAGGTAACCGACCACCTTTTGTGCCGGTCCGGCTTAGCTCCGGTAGCTCTCGTAAGTGGGTGGGCGGGCAACACGCGAGAGCGAGGCTGATGTCGCGATGATCGGACGCCCAGGCGTCGATTTGGTGCGTATGGTCACAGTGGCATATCTTCGACTACTCCCGTGCTATGGAGCTCTCAAGTAGAAGCACGGGCGGTCAGTGAGCGGTTCCTCTTACAGCGCAGAGGGGACAAACAGATTATTGCCTCGTCGTCAAGAAGTTGACGTGTTACAGGGAAGTCGTCCCATGGTCGCAATACCCAGTACGTCTAGCTTTGTCTTGATAGTTGCGCACCGCGGAGCTTGTCCTTGCTTCTACGACTTTTTATAGTTTTGTGTTATTTACATTTTTGTTGATGTGTTATTTTGGTAGAGGACATGAGCCACCACGTGCACGAAGGTGGCATCTTTGTAACGGGGTTTTTGATCGATAAAGTGCACTGTCCTATCAGTGGACAAGCAGGCGACGATTCACCGAGAGTTGTGTGAGGGCGGAGCACCGAGGGGATAAGAAGATGCCCCGAAGTTCCGCCAAGAGTTCTGAACGGGGCTTGAGGTGTTAGGCACCATCGGCTCTGCCGAATCCTGTAGGGGCCCTACAGAAGATGGTTCATTTTCAAAGTCTTTTTTTTTTGTAAGCTTGATGTCCGCACTTATGTAACTTCTGCACATTCTCTAAATACAAGTTTTCTCGGCCTATTAGAACTTATCCAGCGTTTCTGCTTCATCTTCAAACGACCAGCAAGTCAATCACCGCTATTGGAATAGCGGTGGCACGTTTCGTTTCCCAATTTGCTATACCACCTCGGGACGTGCGTCTCAGGCGCTGAGTCGTTAGAGTTCGTTTCTATAACATCGCAAAGAACCTGAATTTTACAAGCGCAGTTGACAGAATTGGCTTGCGGTTATGGAAGATTGGAAGAAGCTGGACGAGACTACAGACTAAGAAGTTACAGGACACTGCAGCAAGTAGCTGCGGCAGCTGGATGCTGCGTATTGCCTTGTCTTCTCGGAAGACAGCGAGGAGCGACTGACCCAATGGAGAATTCCATTGGGAAAGCAGGAGCACTCAAAAGCACGCTTAAAGTGCTCTCTTCCGAGCCGGCATGTTCCAGCGACCGAACAGGTGCAGGAGCACTGTCATCCATTGGTAGAGCGAGAGTGCTCTTGCTGCACCGAGAGCAGCCAGGAGCAGTTGGCAGTGCTGTCGTCTGAAAAGCGGAGTAGGTGTAGTCCAATGAGTCACGTGGTCCTTGAACGTGACAGCCTCCAAATTTTTTCTTCAGCCGGCGAGCGCGGCGGCAATGGTAGCAACCGTGCGTAGTTTGACACCGCTGTTTTGTACGGATGGCAACGATGAGAGCTGGACGTGTGCCTAATGAGTCATGGCACAAGCATACTAAGTATTAGGATAATGCAGAATATGGGTCTGACCAATTTCACGCGTATTTTGCTGCTGCCCCATAAAGATTATGCCAGGGCTTGGAATGTTTCAGTCACATGGTCTCTCTATCCGTCACTTTCTCAACTGCCCTCCGGGAGCGCGGTGCATTCCACTGGCAGGTTGAGTGGCCTTGCTCTCAGTGATCTGCCCCCCACTCCTCAGTGCCCTGCCTTTGTACTCCTGTTCTCTCAATAGAATTCGCCATAAGGTAGCCCTCGGCGGGTCATCACCGGCAGCGACCCACGACTCCACAATCAGGAAACATGGTCGAGCCAAGGCCATTGGAGACCAGAGCAGACAGCAAAACCGTGAGTTGCTTCGGCGTCACTTTCTCTCACTTCTGTGTTCGCGTTGGAGCCGAGAAATGCGTTGCTTGGTATCGCAGGGGTAAGGCGCTATGCCAGTGCGCCGTATTTACCAGGCCGGTTGGATGACTCGGAGTTAATGCGGAATTAGCCCGCATGGATGAAAGATCTTCATGTCAAATTGGCAGAAGAGCACCGCAGAACACTCGAAGTAGAGCGAAAATTGGCATCGCTCGGCATGGCAGCAAGAGACTCGTTTGCCACTTCCCCATGTGGAAAGCCTGTGGTCTTTGACGTAACTAAAGGCATTAAGGCCAAGAGAAAGGAAGCGTAACTTTAAGTTAGCAGAACAGCGCTGCAGGGCGCTCGAATTGGAACTGAAGGGGGCGAGGATGAATGCTGCCAGAGCGTTACGCGAGAGTCCGAAGAGGTAAAAGGTACTAAGAGTAGTACCTGTGCCTAATGTGTTGGAAAGTGCAAATCTTCACGAATCTGAAACATTAGTGCATGAATCAGAGAATGGTAAGCTCGCGCCGCGAGTAGGCAGTAATCATTCAAATGTTTGAATTATTTTGAAAACTCGCTAGATATAGGATTCGACAGTTTTTAATTAAGGGTTAGAACTGTAATTTAAGAAGCCCTTGCTGAATGAAAAAACACCTTTTCAGCACCTCTGGACTAGTCTTAAAAATGGGTGCTTTTTAATTAGCTTGAACTCTTCACTACTGTTCTTTGTAAATATGTTAGAAACTGAGTTTTAATGATTATAGACGTCAATGCCAGCCTAAAAGTTTCAAGCAGTAATTATTCTTTTGCAACAGTAAAGCTCTATGAACTTGAAGTATTTCGTTTTAAGTTTCAATGTCTACGTACGGATCGAATTGCATGAACCATCTAGTCCGTCTTTATCCACTTCGTTACTAACGCCTGCTGACACTCGCCATTATAATATAGTGGTTTTGGCGTTGACCAGGAGGTCGTGGGATCGAATGCTGGTGTCGGCAGCGCATTTGCGGTGGAGACGAAAATTCTTGACGCTCGTGCACGTCACTTTATGTGGACGCTAAAGAGCCCCCACATGGCCAAAATTTGCGGAAGCCTCCTCTACTACGGCAGTCCTCATAACCAAATAATAGTTTTCGTACGTTAAACCCTCACAATTAATAACGCTAGCTGACAAAATGCTATCACCCGTAAAAGCCACACCCATCCTACCCGGAAGTGCATCGGATGCTGAAAGCATGCACATCGCTTTCAGTGTCGTAGTGCGCTCGTAATTTTCTTGGTCATACGGGAACTGATATTGACACTTGCCGGGTAAAATTCACTGCTGTCTCGGGACGCAAGCAACGCGTTATTTATCCTCGCCTCTCTTTCTGCCTTACAAGGCGCTTTATTCTTCCTTTCCATGGAGAACAAAAGTGATTGATTCAAAAACCACGGATGATGTCATGTATTGAATGGCTTGTTAAGGTGTTCATTCTACTTATCTAACGCCATTTAAAGGCCCCAAACGGGGCGTTAACCAGCCCCGAGAGTACGTTGAAACAAGACGCCGTCGTTGTGGCCTCAGCAAGCTTGGCAGGAACAGCTAGGTTTGCAGGCGCGTTCATGTTCTATGCACCGTAGCCTATTATGCTCCGCTTGTCTCTCTTGCTCTATAAAGAAAGTATGAGGTGACTCATATTCAAGCGTTCTCTGCGTCCTGATTATAGAAGTCTTTGCGCCAAGTGGCTAACCATGCAGTGCCGTTTTAGGTCGTGTGAATGTGAAAATCCCGCACCGGGACGTTAATGAAGCGCGACACTGACGTTGGAAATTCACTCCCTCTCGCGTTCGGGTCGAATGCCGACAGGGTACTTTGCTGCACGCTATCTCCAAAAGCGACGGCGTGCCGTTTCTGCAACCGCAGCACACCCACGCATGCATTGAATGATAAACATTCGCGTCGCTACACGCGAAAGGATACGCGTACACGATCCCTAAATTGCAGCGCTTGCAGTCACAGTGCCACCGCAGTCGCGACGTTCTGCTCAAGTTGCGTACTCTGAAAGAGAGCGCTTCGTGGCATGCCAGTGAGAAAAAAAACAAAAACAACAGCAACAAACGAGTAAACGAGGATAGGAAAGTAAGATGGAAAGAGGAGTCAGGGAAACGGGAGATGGGTGGTGCGTGGACGTAGCAGTGGACAGCCTAAACCACGAGGCCGGCAGGTCATCAATCAGGGTCTTCTGGCCGGAAGCTTTTACCCGAAGGAAGCATAGTAGCAGCGCGCGAGAACCACGCGTTATTCCGAGTCACTCGTTCGTTGGAGTCAACAGGATTATGCGTTTGCCAGGCGCGCACCCATAACGCTATGCAACAAAATTTTGGGTTGATTCAAATAATATTAATATAATAATAATAATGAGTGGGATTGAACGTCCCGAAACCATATGATAACGATGAGTGTCTCAGTGGAGGGCACCGGAAATTTTGACCATTTGGTATTCTTTAAAGCGCACCTGAATCTAGGTACGCGGGCCTCAGGCATTTACACTCTATCTAAATAAACCTTAGCGAGTGCAAATGGTCGCGGATGTTGAATGACACTGATATCGACCAGAACATAAGAAGAAAGCGTGGATCATGTTTGCGCAGATTCGTCAGGAAAGCTGCAACCGAAAACGCATATCTGCGCATACGATGATAGACTGTCATGGTGAAGGAAGCGCAACGAATCAGTGCAGTTTCCGCTGTAGAATGCGCGAGTCACGCGTTTCTGTGTTCGAGATTTCATTCTAGACAATTGTAATTATTAAAGTTTGACATCCCAGAACTACGCTATCATTGTGAGAGACTCTGTAATGGAGGGCTTCGCGAATTTCGGCTACCTGGAATTCATTGACGCGCACCTAACTGTAAGCACACGGGCACGTCAAAAATTTTCGCCTCCGCCTGAATAATAAATAAGCGACGCCACCGGCGGAACTGCTTCATTTGACGTTGCTGCTCAACAAGCGGGTCGAGCAGATGCTCAGTGCCACCGAAAAACCACTGGCATAACCACATCGTAAATTCGAACACCCAAACAGCCATGGTCTAATTTCGCAGTAGGTATTGTACTTGGGGGTGATTTGTTTGTCTATTTATTTCTTAACTTTCACAATACTCGACAAAAATGGCATTAGAACACCTAAACTGTAATCCCGGTGTTAAATAAAGAACGGTTATTGATAATGATAGAACATAAGCAAGCAGATAATCAACGCGAGCCTTTAATTGGTGATCAAGAAAAATGTCGATTCCCAAGGCATGTTTTTTTTTAAAGAACTTAAGGTTGTGGAGATTTCATGATGCGGCTAATAATGAGATACGTGTAGTAGCCTGCACATCTAGTAATAATAGGTATTATAATCATTGATATGTGGGGTTTAACGTCCCAAAACACCATATGATTAAGAGAGATGCCGTAGTGGAGGGCTCCGGAAATTTCGACCACCTTGGGTTCTTTGACGTGCACCCAAATCTGAGCACACGGACCTACAACATTTCCGCCTCCATCGAAAATGCAGCCGCCGCAGCCGGGATTCGAGCACGCGACCTGCGGGTCAGCAGCCGAGTACCTTAGCCACTAGACCACCACGGCGGGGCAAAACTATAGGTATAGTAAGATGCGGCGAATAGGATTCTCTTCATTTATTCATGTGACCAAACTTCGTATCCAAACTGCTTTACTTGTACTCGGACCATATCTACGAGACATAAATCTTACATACACTGACACACTCTAAGCTAGCGTTCAAGTAAATAGGTGCACTAGGCTGAATTCTTCTCGGGCTCGGTTGCATTTGCTCTCAGCCCATGTGATTTCTGGCGGCACTATGCACACACACGTAACATCCACACAGCACCGACGCAAGCAGACACGCTCGCGTCTCTCTTCCTCTTTCTTCGCTTAGTGGTGAGTCTAATGGTACATATTCAAGAGGTCATTTTCAGCGCTTCAGAGAGCTTTGGTGAGACACTTCACATTTAGCTGATTGAAATAGGATGCTCTGAACACACTCCGTGGCTTGTTTACATAGCGCCACGCTCCAGATCAGAGTTCATAGTAGTCTGAGTCACTCTCACCTTGGACCCCGGAGGGAGGCCAAGATCGGGTGAACTTTTGGTCACCTGACTCTTGTACATCCTGTTGTTAACGTGGCATCAATAGCGACGACATGCGCGGCGGTTCCTGTCAACCAGCGCATTTTGCTTATTTGAGACCGAAGGGGCGCTGGCGTATTTCCTCTCCGGCCTCCGATTCCAATGTTGAAAGGCTGAACTTTCGGCTTTTACACAACTTTCTGTGGTTCGGATAAAGAGCGGATTTTACATTGTTGGAACTGGGTTCAAACTACGGTAGCTACCAGTTGAATGCACAGTCAGCTACAACAGTTTATGAACGAGACACACGAAAAAGCTGAACATGCCCGCGGCTTTTGCCAGCAGCCTTGAAATTAAATTTAGGAGCCATTTCTAAAACACGTTATGTGCAGTTCAGAATGCAGTACCAAGTTGCTGGAAAATTCACTTTTCGACGGGCCTAGAAATTTCAGAGCTTTTGCCGCTGAATGTACCATAAATGCCTAGTGGGCACCACTCTTGAGTTTACCTGAGCGATCTTTTCGATAGTCTTGGTTGGCGTAAAATAAGAATTCCTGCATCGTAATAGTGAACGGCTCATTCCGCTTATCACTCGGGCTGAGGACCACTCTGACTATTGGCCAATAACGAAGTTTGAAAGCAACTTACACCAGAAGGTAACCGTTAAGTAAAAAGAAACCATCTGTCTGCTGCGGTCTTATCTCGTATCTAAGCTGGTAAACTGCTATCTCGCCTGAACATTGAAGCGGGAACGGCCACATGAGTCACTAGTACGACTGCCTTCCCTGAAGTGTCGGTACGATGGCTCACCTTTGCAGGACGAATATCACGACGCTGCCGACGAGGCACAACTGGATGAGCACTGCAAAGTACCAGGTGATCTCCAGACACTGCGGAAACGTTATAACAATGAAAAAGAATAACGTCAATGTACAATCACGACAAAAAATTGTGTATGAGCACGTCTGGTCTGTCTAGCTCACGTCTATCGTTTATTGTATTACTTGAAATGGCTAGCCAGGAGTGGCACACCAGGTCCACGCCCCTACCCCCCTTCACAATTTTTTTTTCGCCATGGCATAAAAGAGATAAGGGTCATTTGAAGCGGGTGTTCCCCTCCTTCCGAAATCAAGGTGCTCCCTTCCCCCAGAAAAATTCTGCCTTAGCTCCTGATTACTTTTCTTATTAACGAGACATATTTTGCATCTTGCGGTTTCAGTACGTAAGATCATGTCTCGCTTTTTCTTTGTAGCTGCCATGTCTGCAATGGTGCGACCACTTCTCAAGCTTTTAGTACGACACTCTGGTAATATGATACTCTGTGACAATATAACCATTTTAACGCGTACACTATTTTACTCATTAGAAAATATGACGGATAATTTCAGCTTCAAGTACAGCCAGTTATCTTTTTACCTTGTTTTCTCGGGATGGGAGTGGTTGTGCGACAAGATGTTTGAATACAGCAGATCCATCTTCTGGATCAGAGCACATTCTCTAATTATCTACTCGCAACAGCTAGAACTACGTAGACATTACGTCTCAATTTACCCAGCTATAACTTGATCAAGATTGTAATGAATCTGATTATAATCAAATTGAAATGAAACGAGACAAGATGATTCTCAACTGAGACATTCTGTACGTCGTACCATGTGTGTTTTTTAACGAGCTCCGTGTATTTAAAAAATGTATGAAAAGATGTGCAATTTTCGGCATTACGCCACCTTCATTACATTGTCAAAGTGGCCATTGAGTTTCAGACGTGCACACACCCAATCACTCGTTTTAGACAAACACGTTGCTGCCACTGTAGACACTTTGTAGAAGCCGAAGCAGTGCTGCACAAAAAGCCATCTGAGCAACGCTTCGCGTAACCTATCCTCGACTCCCACGATAAAGAAAATCGGCAACACGCTTTATCCACAGCAAGTTCTTAGTGTATCGTATCGATTTCCTTACTTTAGAGACTTCAAGATAGTTCATTAGTGCATGGTTCCCCTATCACATAGCGGAGTTGGTGGGAAAGTCTCACAATGATCAGCTTTGGTGGGAAAAAACTAGTGCATTTAACCCATGGACACTGTATAGTGTAGCTGGTTCAACCATGCATGCATTACCCTACGGCTACACTTAAGGACCACTCACCAGGCCTCTTACCAAATTTTATTTAGACAGTGCAAGTTGTTGTTTGTCCGATTAGGAAATATTTGTAACAAAAATTTTTTGAATCGGTTCATCACGAGAGAAAAGAGGTTTTTTGAAGCGGCGCGAAACGAGGATGAGAGGAGGCGCGCGCCAAACCCTAGCCGCTCTTCTGCGTAGCCTTTGCAAGCCAAATTTCTTCCCCACCCACTCCGGAATCGGGCCAAGAGGTGACGTGCGCATGACGTGCCCAAACAAGTCCAACCCCGGAGCACGCGAGCGGTGTTACTTTGTTAATTAGCGTTATTTTATGGTCTTCTGTCTGTTTCTGCGGGATGGTTTGGAAACCCTGGCCTAGACGCGGTAGAATAGATTAGCACAATGCGTGCGCAAACGCGTAGCAGCGTTCCACTACAGTGTCTGTATATTTCTAAACACTGTAGTTCCACGGTGGTCATCTGCTGCTCCATGCGCTGACCACGGGGACACAAATGCATGCGAAACGCCGACACATTAGCCCCGCATCTCGTTGCGATTCGCGGGAGAAAAATAGAAAAAAAAGACGGTCACATTCTCTTATTGCGTCTCATTATTTATCTAGAGTTTTATTGATCTTTTCAAGCAACAAATTACATAAACGACGCATGCCGTGTTAAATAACTTTCGCCATGTCACGTGCCACTGTTTGCAACGTCAGAGCAGAGTCGTCTACGTAGAGGACCAACGTCACTGCATTTCCGTGTACGTAGCGCCATCCATACGCGCGCGTCATGCCCTCATTCTCTAGGCACGCGCCGGCAGAGGGGAGGGGAGCAGCGTTCATCTTGAAATTTGACCCATTTCCGCAGTGCGTAGCGTTGCAAATTTGGCAGACGTTATCATGAACGCCTCCTCTATGCGTTGAGCTTGTCAGCTTAAAATTGTCAAACCAGGTGAGTGGCCCTTTAATGCAAAACAAAAGTATGCGTACTAGTGACCGTGAAAAGGTGGACACCACCTATGCATATCTTAATTATCAAGTGTGCTATTACTGCTGGTGCATTGTATTGTTGGATTTTTTTGTACCACTTTTGGCTTTTAGATAGACTTATATGTGGGGTTTAACGTTCCAAAACCACCATATAATTATGACTTTATGAGAGACGCCGTAGTAGAGGACTCCAGAAATTTCGACCACCTGGGGTTCTTTAACGTGCTCCCAAATCTGAGCACACAGGCCTGCAACATTTCGGCCTCCATCGGAAATGCCGCGTACTCAGCCGGGATTTGATCCCGCAATCTGCGGGTTAGCTGCCGAGTATCTTAGCCACTAGACCGCCGTGGCGGGGCCACTTGTGGCTTTTGTTGCCTGTAGTCTTCTTTTTCTTTTTTCTTCTTCAAATGGCTTCATTTTATAACCTTCTTTTTCTCTTCCCTCCTGCATAAAGAGATGGCAGGCGTCGTGCCTACTCAGCGCGAGTTGTGAGCCGCCTTCCTTCCTACAACCCTATGCGTTCCCGGTAAGCCGTAGGTCACGGGATCAAATCCCGGCTGCAGGGGCCACCTTTCCAAAATAGGTGAGAATGGTCAGTGCCCGTACGCTCAGACTTAGGCTCACGTTAAAAAAATCCTGACATGTCTAAATGTCCTGAGCCCTTCATTCGGCGTCTCGCATAATCATATGGTCGTTTTGGGACGTTAAGCCCCACTGATTATTGATTATGCGTTTTCGGTACAACATGTGTCGTTCAAAATCATACGACTTATCACAGCTGCGGTGAACGGCTTTGGTGAATTATTGTAACGTGGTGTCACGATCATCGCAAAGCGAACGGCACTCGTTACATCGACGCTTGAAGAGTGCACGGCATGAGTGTTTTTCGCGCACCGCAAACCATGCAATAGCGATGGTACCAAGATGGATGAGTGGTGCCGTCAGCCGATTGCTTGCGTTTGCTCATTCCGCCACTTGATCTGCCCTCGATCGGGCGTGGATATTGTGTGACATCGAGAAACTTGCGTACGAGCAAGCTTTTCGATGCAGCCCTGTTACATGTACCTCGTCTTTTTCACAGTGAGCGCGCCACTGACGCATTCAGGAAGGCTTGTAACCTCGAAAAAATATACGCTTCATAAATGCCGCTAAAACAACATAAAAGTACAGGAAAGCCAAATTGACTCAAGTTTGTGTGTGTGTCTATGCCCATGTTTCCTCGTACCTTTATTCGAAATCATGTCTAGTAAGAGCAACTAATTAAGAATTGAATAATTTATTCTGGCTTCTATAACCAGGTACTTATAAGTTGTTGCACTGTGGTATCCATAACTATGCCGATTATATTTAATAAATTGTAGCACAGAGATGGAAGTGCGGTTTTCGGTGACTTACGGCGTGGGAGCTGCTTATGACAGCGCTTCCTCTGTGCAAAAAAAAAAGAGAGGAAGACTAAACATAACAAGTATGCCCATCAAGTATTAGGGTGCATGCATTAACGTTTTACAGCGTCGTGTACCGTCGCCTATGAATGTGCACAACAGAGATTTTTACCGCGCCTCTCGCTTTGTTTGGGCTCATCCACGCGTACCTGCTCTGAACACGTTTCTCGAGCGTAGGTTCTAATAAGTTACAGATTGTGACTGTGGTAGCCGCGATGTAGTACGCGAATATCCTGGCACCGGTGAGCGAACAGAAAGGTGGCTCTCGATCCAAGGGGCACCGGGAAAATGCGTGCTGGTGTTCTCTGTTTTCTCATACTTGACGCTTTTTCGCTCCTCGTCGGCTTGTCGGTGAACGGTCGTTTCTGGTATGGCCATCTTGTATTTTTTTAAAAATCAAGAACACTTGTCATTTCACGTTGTCACACTACTGTTGCCTGCATATAAATGCATGGCCGTCTTTGCTTCCTGTAGCAACTGAACTGTTGTTGTAAGAACGTCGTTGAAAGTTCCCTTCCCGGCATCTAGGAAAAAAGTTAGAATAGAGCATTATGGAATAAGAGAGAAAGAAAGAAAGAAACTGTGCTCAATATTCTCACCTGGCTGCCTTAAAAGCTTATAAGCCCGGCTCCATACGAACTATAGTGAGAAAAATTTTACACAATGTTTGTAGCATGTAAAGTACCAGCCCCGCGTGTCCTCTAACTGTACTTTAGTCATTTTAAAGTGAATCTTCATTTTACAAGCTTCCTGGACTTTTCTGAACGTGCAAGTATGTGCTGTTGTTTTACGTATCTGGTTAAGGAGTGGAGCTGTAGTTGCTTTCGTTTTCTAGTATTATACCACTGGTTTCTAAGCGGTAGGTCCACACATATTGCATTGACGCCAATTATCTGTCTGATATGGTTGCCATGTCACATTGGGAAATCGTGAATACATGTGCGTGTGCCAGTTTGTATTAGACCGACTATGCAAGAATGAAGCCCGCAAATATAGCCTCCCTCACCGCTTTCACCTCTGCCCTACGAGGACGTTAATGAATGTTATCACCACCTTTATACTCCGTGGAAATGATTGACAGGTGCAGCTGAAAGAGGTGGCCCCACTGTTTATCACTGGCTCTATCAAACTACTGTTATAATCTGTGAATGCGCACGTGCTACACAGCTAGGCTCTGTATTGCTCGCTTTGCGTGGACAGTGATTTTTGATAAAAAGTATACAACTATACATAAAATCTATCTTGAATGTAGTGAATGCGCCTTTAAAGTTTTTTATTTAAGCAGCATATGCGTTTTCAACATCGACAACAACATGCGTCGTCTTGTCTG